GCTCAACCACCATCAACGTGGGCAGCCTTGTACGTGCGAGGCAAAGTGAAAGAGGAGCTGTTGCCCCAAAGAAACCCTAGCTAAACACGGTTCAAAATGGTTCTATTATGATTCGTGCTGCCTGTTTGGGCGGACTCAGTCCGGTTCTACTCATCTGGTTGGAATAGGGGTTGTTGTGGGGGAAGCTTATAACACACACACACACACACACACACACACACACAGACACAAACACAGACACAAACACAGACACAGACACACATGCACGCACACACACTCACATTTCAGAGTATCCACGGGGGAGAAATGGTTGGTTTTTCTTTTCTATACATACGGGTGGAATAGGGGTTGCTGTGAGCATTGCTTAAAACAAACACACACACACACACACACACACACACACACACACACACACACACACACACACACACACAGAGAGAGAGAGAGAGAGAGAGAGAGAAGAAAGGAGGAGCGGTGACAGACTGTTTTGTCAGACTTTCACCGACACATCAGGATGGAGGACACTTGACGGTCTGTAGAGTCGCCTAACAGACCATTGTGGAATCGATAGTACACCTTAACCCCAGCTTGAGGTGAGAAACAACCACTTGCCTGTAGGATCCCTGTGACGAATATCAACGCACACTATAACCGACCCATTTCAAACGGAATTTATATTGTCGCATATTACGTACCGATTAACTTCGTGAAACAGACAATGAAAGCAGAAGACAGAGGGAGGCACACTGAAACCCTTCTTTTGCCTTCCCATGGGCACTTTGTTCTTTTCTTGCCTTATTTTAGCTTCTTCTCACGGAGTCTATACTTTGTTTGTTCTTTTAGCGCTCCCTTCAATGCATCTCTCGCATACAAAGCTTGGCGTGTCCATGTAGTTGAGCGAAAGCTGCCTAGATCCTCATGCACCATAAGGGTCCACTGACTCCACTCGTATGCTGTGAAAAAGAGGCAGAGTAAAATAGCTTTTTCACTGTTTCTCTTTTATTGCTCCTTTCAGCTCTCCCTTCCCTGTGCCTCTCAGGTGCAAGGTTCGCCATGCAGCGAACACAAGCAGCCTACATCACTGTTTTCCATAACGGCCCGCTTGCATGCTGTAAGGAAGAGGCAGAGCAAAGGGACTGGGTAGACAGAGAGAGGGAAGACGTGTATTCATAAGCTCTGCTGAGAGTTTTGAGTGTCTACGATATATGACAACATATAAATAAATATATTAACATACATACTAATGATATTATATCAATTTATATGCACACATTGGTAACTATAATATTATATATGCGTATATTATTTTGCAAAAAAAAAAAAAAAACGTATATTACTATATTGTTGTATATGTAGATAGAGAGGACACAGTGAAGGAGAGCTGGATGAAGAAATAAACGAAAAAAGTCCGCAAAACCATAAAAAGAAATGTCAAAGGAAAGAGAGAAAGAAAAGAAACAACTTCACATAAAAACGCGAAAAGAACGGTTTCAGTGTACCTCATGCTGTCTTCCTTCTTCTCATTTGTTTTTCACAAAATGTGCTCTTTTACTTGCGAGAGATAGATAGATAGATAGATAGATAGATAGATAGATAGAGAGAGAGAGAGAGAGAGAGAGAGAGAGAGAGAGAGAGAGAGAGAGAGAGAGAGAGAGAGA